TTCATGTCGAATGAAGTAAGTAATATTATCAAAGAATTCGCTGAGGACAAACTGAGCTATACACATTTTAGCTCTTAGCTGCGTTTATTTATTACGCAGCCTTTACCCGACTGTGTGTTACATATTGTATGAAAGACAACCCCTGCAAAAGCACAGTAATGATAGGTTTCAGAACAAAGGACCTGCCACCGTCTATCGTGTTCAGCAGTTTACCGTGAACGGTCACTAAATGGGTCTGCTCGTGGCTTAAATTTCACTTGTATAATTGACAAAGTTGCCAGAAAGCACGTTTAAGTAGTGAAATGAAAAGAATTGGCTCAATCACTAGCACTTGGCCAGGGAGTAAAAGAAAGGACGGAGGTAAATACAAGGTGAAGAAAGGAACATTTGTATAAACTTAAAGCGTTCATTGGAAAAATCCGCAAAGGAGCTTGTCATAGTATATTCACCGGGGCGAACGTGTTGAGTCCTTTTTGTTGCGCGTTTTCCTTATTAATATTTCCTTGTTTCTCTTTCTCCATTGTGCTCAAACGAACACTAACTACGTGCCCAGTGCATACATACTAGACGAATATGAACATGCAAGCGTAACCGAAGACAAACTATGCAAAACTTAAAAATAACAATATTCCACCAATTACATGCATGTCTTACCTCTATAGCCTAAGTTAGCATGCTTAAGACAAATACTCAGTCGTTCAGGAGGTACTTCGAAGGTCTTCGAGGACGAAACTAAGCTCACTATGAAGAGCCATGATAATTTAGCGATTTTTGGATCAGATAATCATGAAATATTTTTGCGATGTTGTTTATTTGCGTTCCATGCACGATTCCTATGCCGTCAGAATAGAACTTTCGCACACACAAGGATCCATTCAACCACAATTTTAAGGCTGCTTGCACAGTCTTTTACATTCGCACCACAAAACCTTGCAGAGTAGGCGGATGTGAACGACCTTAAGGAATAAAATCATTAATCTTTTTGAACCAATTGGTGTTCATCATACAAGGGCAATGATCTCAACGCCATTTCTTGGTTCGATTTAAGGTATTCAGACTATTCACGGATAAAGTCGCCGTAGCTCGGGTGTAAATCATCTCCCCAATCAGGAGCGATTGGTAATTTGAGGTGACGGGTGTTTTGTAGCTGCGTGAGCCATTTACTAAGTCATCTAAGTTTACCGATAGATTTATGTCAGTCATATGCATGCAGTGGCAGTTAATTACTCAGCAAGCAGAAAAAATTGCCTACAGTCTCTAAAAGCAGAAGTTACAACTTTACCATCCCCCCGACTAGTCATAACTTCCGTAAAATCTTCCAATCAACCAAATGGATATCAGTCGTTGGAATCTTGGTCTTCGTTTTGACATTAATAGCACTTAGTTATTCGGAGATCACCATGCAAAAGCTGGACGTAAGGCCATCTATACAAATCGATTGGACCAGTCTCATATCGAGATAAAAATAAGCAAACTCACACTTCCAAATGACAAGTTTTGATACCTCGTATACTTTTAAAGGTATGTTTAAATGAGACAAGCCTTGTTTGCACAGTTTTGACTTAATATTATCAAAATGCTCTTTACTATTTTTGGGTCAGTTAAAGCCATCACATATCAATCATTCTCGCTTATTTTTATATTAGTTGGGATAGCCTAATACCTATAAAGTGGATTTTAGGAGATAAAATATTAGATCAGTCTTGGGAATACCGCTACTTCAGAGTAGACGAAAAGCGCTCTTATTTACTAACACTTGCAAAATTCCCTCGTCCTGGATCTTATCAAACAAACACTGAATTGGTTGCAAAGGTTTAGGGTTTCTGAATATACATCATAAGAGATGACTAGAAATTTCCCAGTGAAGATCGAGCTTTCTACCATAATTTGTAGCGCGACATTGAAGGATTTATACATGACATTAGTGTGTGCCGTGACCCTGACAGGTATGAAAACCGATGTTTTCCTCTAAAATTAAAGCAAGGATTTACTTCTTAGACCGTGCTTACGAAATAAGTTTGATTCCCCAACAAGCGTTTCACCTCATTATTAATTTTATGTCCAGTTTTGTCAAAATGTGTGGACGTCAATGATGGGTACAGCCGTATTCTCAGTTCATTTGAGTAAAGAAGTTCCGGGAGCCTACATGCTTTGTTTCAAATTGCTTGGACAACAATGCAACAAATGTGATTCGAAAGAATTTCAGTCAGCAATATGGTACCCCGAGGAAGTCATACGCGTGAGCAAAAATTTTGTCTATATGGTTGTTAATGGTCGAGTGCAACAGACATTTTTTGCCTTAATCTTTGTAATATGATGAGGAACTCAGTATTGGAATACGACGTCGAAATGTTTCAGATATTATGAAAGCACTTGGAATTTGTAAAGAAATAATTATACTTTTATATATGAAGCTTGCATAAAATCCCCCCTTCCTTTCGGTCTTGGCTGGTAAGGTTGGCAAGGACGGGCTACCTGTATTTCTGTGTGTAAAAACTTGTTTAGGCAAAACGGTACTACCGACAAAGACGGGGGAGACTGGAGTGGCCATTTCTGGCTCATCAGCCGTCGTCAGTAAGCCAAACCCAAACCCGGAGTGCTGAACACCTGAGGTTCGATCCCGCGACCTGTCGGTTAGAAGTCCAATGCCTCTAACTACTGAGTCACAGGCCCGTCGTCCTGCCGGTTGAGGTGCTGGATTTCCAACTGACAGGTTGCGGGATCGAGCCTCAGGTGTTCCACACTTAAGGGTTGGGTTTGGCTGACTGACGACGGCTAATGAGCCAGAAATGGATATTCCATTCTCCCTTCTCTTTGTCGGTAATGGCGTAATGCCTATATCATGCGCCGCTGTGCGGCTACTGGTTGGGCTCGTGAGAGAGAGCCCTAAGACAATACGGGACGAGCGAGTTTTGTAAAAACGGTCGGTAAGTGTCCCTCTACCATAAATTTGTTTGTAATTTGGCACTATGTCCCTAAAACGGATCACACAGTAGATGCGCAGGAACAACACAAAGGCTTGTTCAAAGTCCAGCAGGCGTTGTCGGGAATGCGCACCCACAACAAATGCCAACATTGGGGGTGTGTCGACACGTCCAGGTGCAGATTCACGCCGCGCCAACTAGGATCGGCGGCGCCCCCAACTTTTTTTTGAAACAAAATTCTGGTTAGTGTATGTTGCGGATCAGGGAGTGTGGTAGTACGCCTTAGTGTGGGTGTCCACTATGCCAGTTGACTGCGCCCGCTCCCGCCTCCGGTCCTCTTGACTCTGTTTTGACAGCGGATCCAGGTGGAGGAGGGGAGTGCGGTAGATGTTGCGTAATTCTACCATCAATGTAAATTAATTTACGCACAAGTCACCGCCCCTGTCCTTAGTGTTCTATTAATACTTGTTGATCATTATGGCCGCAGTGTCAATTTGGCATACCTATTTTGCTTAGAGGTAAGCGTACCGGAGAATATCGATGACGAAAGTCTCGAACTTAAAGTGCCGCGTTAAGCGCAGACCTAAAAAAAGAGACTCCGAGAGGAAATAGATTGACAAAGTTGAGAGATCCGGGTGGATTATTTGAAGATGAAGAGAGGAAATGTTTTTGTTTATGGGTGTTTTGATTATTCCCTTCGGCAAATTATGTTACAGATTCGTTTTTAGTGAGCCTTATTTTGTTTACTACGAAGTTATCAACTATTAGCCAAAGCGGTCTATCTCTTGTTTTTTTTTACTTTCCTCAAAAATTAACTGCGAACTTGGAGTAAATCAACATATTCTAGATCTTTGGGCTCTACTATATTTAAATCACATTAATTTCTGATGAAAATGAACAGGCAAATGTAGGATGATTGGCTTGGCACTCAATAAAAACATAAAAATTACACTTAGTTAAACCATGCAAATGCCTACGAAAGGAAACTTTTGATGTTCTCCACACGCTTGACTAAAATCTGGCCAAGAACATTTTGCAAGGACATTCAGTAAAGCAACACGTTTTGATATAAAATCTTTATGCAAGCCGGTCTAAAACACCTCGATATTCGGACCACTGTAACGCGATCCTTAAAGAGAAAGAGGACAGATTAGATTTCTGTCGTTTCTCTGAGTTAGTACTCCTGTTGAGCATCAACAGAAGAGGCTTCTACTATTTCGCTGAATTTATGGCAGCATCGACTTATGTCTTCCCGAAATAATTTCTGTTTAGATATCAAAATACCGTTATGTAATCTGTAAATCCAAAATAATCTGGATGCTGTGGACGCCGAAGAATACTCGGACGAGTTGGCAACAACGTTAGATTGTTGTGGACTACCAACCACAGTTGTAAGATGATGCATGTGCTCCTCGGCGGCGGAGCTGGCCACCAAGAGGTTGGCAATATAGGCATGGACAAATGATAGGCCATGGAGCACCCTTTCTACGAACTTCTGGAAGGTTTTGTAGGCGTTGCGGAATCTAAGCGACACACACAGGGAATAAGAGGCCAGAGGAGTGGTGAGAGCCATCTTCGAGACGTCCTACGGAGCGATGGGGACTTGACAGTAGGTCCGGACCAGGCCGACCTTCGAAAAAGTAGACTTGCCAAATAGGACATCGGCAAAATCCTAGAGATGCAGAACGGGATAGCAGTCCGGTAAGGTGACGTTTTTCGAGGCCTTATACCCACGCACGGGCGCCAGACGCCATACGGAGAGGCGAAGCTCAAGGGCTTTCAGATTGGTAGATGATGCCCATATGAAGCATATTCCCGAACTCGGCATTGGCGGCAGCAAGGCGTGCGGGCGTGAGATGGTAGGGCCAAGGAAACACGGGAATGTCAACGGTTCGGATATAATGAACAACATTTTGCGGTAGAGTAGAGCGTTGAAATTCAGACGGGTGAGGCCGGGATGATTAGCAAGGAGCTGCCGAAATGGATTATTTGGGTCAGGGTCCAAAACAGCAAATTTGCGGACAATTCTGAAGAAAGAAAAGTCCGGAATTTTGGCTTGGCGATCTGGTTGTGTAGATGGAACTGACGGTAGTCGACCAAAAAATCGAACCCAGCGAGAAAGGGTGCTCCGAGAATGGCACAAAGAACGTCAACAACGACAAAGTCCGAGGGAAGAGGCGTCGGAGGCCGATGTTCAAGAAGAGTGAGTAGGTGGCGGTCGGGGAGGCGCTGATGGCCTGAAGATAGAGGTCGAGATTTGAATACAAACGGTGGGCTGCTGTGGGGAAGATAACACTAGACTGCTCCCTAGTGTCGACCAAGAAACGTCTGTCACTGTTTGCCGCATTCGTGGGTGGTGCGGCTAGAGATAGAGCTGTCAGGGCAATTGGTCGCATTGATCTATGGTCTGCCTCATTTGCTCTAGCTGGAGATTGAGCCGGGAGAGGTGCAGAGACGAGCTCTGACACTGCAGCAGCCGTTCCAGTGCCCTCTTTTCCGGCTCCTATTTGTAAGCCGACCGCCGTGACGACCGTGCTAACACACAGGCGCACTGCTAACGCACGGACGCCCCCAGGCTTGGTTTGAGGTATCTCTTGACCAATTGCATTGAGTCACAACTGCGCCCAAAAACTGGCACCATCTGGCGCGCGTCGGCCGGCTTCGCCTGTCGCCCGCGGGCATTCGTGGTTACGCGCGCCCTATCTCAGTCCATGAACTAACCAACCACGTGCTCACTACTTAGCTGGTCACTTGTTCATGCTGGTGCAGGCATGTCAGACACGCAAACAACACAGCGCCCCTACGTGATGGCAAACGGAGATTGGACCTATTAATGAGGACGGCTACATGCATCCCCCAGCGGATAAGTCCTTAGTTTCTAACAGTTGTCCTTTGCGGAGCCGTCCTAGTATACCACAAACGAGCGATGTTTGGAGATAGATAGGCGTGCAAGCAAAATAATCGATAAGTACGTTGCCTCTTCTTCATACTTAATATCTGATAAGTATTTCAGTAAGGCCCCTGTTATTTCATAAATGTCCACCGTGCAGGTACTGCAATACGTCCACTGGCAAATTTGTGATGAACTTCTCCTTCGTAACGGCAATTTCCCGCCAGTTTTTGTACTGCCTCCTCTACAAGTGCTACCATCCCCTCCAACGTTCGTCAACGACCAACTCAATGTCTGGCCCAGGCCTGAGTCCATGCAGAGGTCGCGCGGAAATCTGCAGAACGCACGCACAGTCCGTCGGTCTGTCACTCCCACGTGCGGAAGGAAGAGTCAGCTGGTGAAAAACCTTCTAACGAGCCGCTCAGGACACCCAATGAAATCGCATAACAGTGCACAGTGCGAGGCCTGCCAATGGGGCGTATGTTCTGCACTGACTGGGCAAGAGGCGCAAAGATCAAGACATCGTTGGCGTCCTTCGCGCAGGCGTCACAGAGAGGACCGGGCACAAAGCCTAGTGGGCCAGGTTGGTGCACCGCCTAAGCCTTCATTAAATCAACCCAAGTCATCAGGAATTCACTCACCAAAATCAGGCTCCGAGGCAAGTGCTACTGAGCCGCCAATGGGGCGAGATAGCGCCCGAAACATTCTGGAACTCTGTCTGCAGATGACATGCGATAATAGCTTCTTCGGTTCGGCCAGAAGGGCAGGTGACAGACGTGGGGTCACCTTTCGCTCCCTTAGACAGGAAGGAGATAAAGTAGCAGAAAAGATAAAAGGCTGGAAATCAGCGGACAATCTTCTGGAGTCCATGGACGCATTTAGCGGGTTAAACATTAACGTCTAGTTTGTCCATTTCGGCTGATCCATCGAAGAATTGCTGACTGTTATCAGAGGCACATTCAATCTTGTATACTGTATACATTTGGTTTTTCAAAAATATTGATGCACACTGCGTCCATATCTTGTTATTTGTTATATGCTTACACCGCATAAGTGGAAATAGTAACCTTTACTTTTACCGCGTTATCTGTTCAGGATTATACACAAATTTTTCATAGACAGTGGACAAGAACATTCGATGTGTATGGAAATGCTGATCACTCATTGCCGTAAAATCATATTTAGATAATTTTCACAAGTGGATATGTTGACCCGGGCCAAAATAGCGTTTTATAAGGGCGGAATTTAATGTTGTTCTATGATTTACTAGTTCGGTAGAATAAAGTGAATGGTGGTTATCCTTTAGAGAGAAAGATTCCTAGTCACAGGCATTTTGGTTGGAAGACGAAACACGGGTTATCGTTGGAACAGCGTTGGAATGCAGGAAAAAGGAACTGCTAGATAAATACTGCACGAATGTCCGACGTTCTTTCTGAATATTAAGCATTACATGCAGTGTCCCATTATGCTCTGATAAAGTGGCGCACAAAATTTTGTAGACAGGTGCAAGACACGCACACCATTTGACTTCTTGTCGCATACAGAAACAAGTTGATGCATTCTAAGCGCGGCCGATGGATTCGAACAAGTTCTAGTTTTTATCAGGTAACAGTTGCTTCAGTGGTTATTCGTTCGGGCATCAGGAATCGTGAGTAGTTCTTGCTGGTTTGGCATCTTCAGCAGTAATAGATTTCAGTGGGACTACATTCAACAACTTCTGTGTCACAGGCTACCTAAGAGTAGGTCCTTTTATAGTCATAAATCTTAATCAGGCGTCAGCACGCAAGTTATGTTTACATAGCTTAGCCATAAATAATGCCTGCCGAAAGTACTGACTGTATCTTTCCCAGTTAAAATCGTTCAAACCGCAGTATCAAAATTCGAATGACTAGAGATGCGTTGAACCTGTGTCCGCAAGGCTTTAATTAACCGTATACGAAGGTTGTGGAGATTAAAAAGCCGATAGCAGTCAGTTATTATCTTTCAGCTTAATTGGTCTATTCCCACACAACAAGGACAAATTAAATATGCATTTATTTATGTGAGATTTCTGTAATGTGCTTAAGATTGCGCCGAGGAGTTTAAGGTTGACCCACTTGATACGATTTACCCTCATCAAGATAGTTTTAGATGAATCGCTAGTTCTCAGTAATTAGTTTCCAAATTGATGCATTCAAATAAAATAATTAAGAATAAAAGACCGATCGCGATGTATGCATAGGTGAAAAGCCGACCACTGAACTCTGATTCCTTTTGACATATTTTAAAAGTCGTTATCAATCTAGACCTGGCTGTAACGGCTGGTTGTGTCGTAATTATTATTTCATGAAATGGAGTCGATCAGCGGCGCAAAGATCTCCCTGGTTATTGAAATGCCACAAGTCCAGCTGAAGCAGTGCCTTCTTGGCTCTGTTTAACATTATGGATTGTAGTACAGCTATCAAACTAAGCTAGACAAGATCAAGTCTATATGGTAATTTTGCATAAAGGAGAAACAAAATAAACTACCCACAAACGAAGCAGATTAAAAGGCAAAAACAACTGACAATAATAAATGGCAGTTAAATAACAGGAGGGGACTCGGCTAACTAAATTAACAAAACTGTATAGGTGTGCCTGAACAAATTTTTCTAGCTTTTTGGGCTAAACACCGGACCAGATTTCGTTTTTAAAGAAAAAGAGCTGGCGATGGCGTCCGAAAGAGCGTCTATCGGAAGAAAATCTGGTCTGGACAATACACGAACTTTGCCAGTTTCGTACCCCTTCAACAAAAACGAAATCTGGTCCGATGTTTGGCACAAAGGGCATCGAGGAAGATCTTAGAAAAATCCAGGACTTGCTTCGCAAAAACGGGTATCCTGACAGGTTCATTGCAAAAAACATTGCCCAGCGACCAACAAGACCTACCACATCGACTGCCGAAAAGAAAGCTTTGTTCTTTAAAGTTCCTTTTCAAAGAGAAACTGCGAGTGAACTCCTAAGAAAACGCCTTGTTCAAGCTGTTTCGCGAAACTTCCAAGCAGCAAGGGTTCGAATATCATTCTCTACTAACCCTATTTTACGCGCAGAAGGTAAGGATAGACTGCCAAATCAGACCACATGAATATGCATCTATCCCTTCACTTGCTCCTATGGAGCGAATTATATTGGTCGTACAAGTCGGCGTCTAGTCAAAAGAATACGAGAACACCTCCCCGAATGAACGGCAAAAGGCAAAACTATGAGCATAAGCAGGGCCATTCTTGCTCAAGCAGTTGATTCAGGGCATCGTGCGGACCACGGTAAAGCTTTTCGTGTAATTTACAAGGTCCTCTCGAGCTGTCCTAAGCTTATTGGCCAGTGCCTGTTGGCAACAGCAGAGGCTGTCGCAATCATATCACGAAGACCGACCCGACAGTGCGTAACCGATCTAATGAAATTTTGGCCGAAATTCTGAAATGCCTCTCTGGTTAGAAATGATTTCTTAGGTGGGGTTGTAATATTGATTACCATGCGGCATAATCCTGCAGCATTTTGGACTCGCCTGTGCGTCAGATTCGAATACACAGTAGGTGGGCTAACTCAAGAAATGTCAACTGAAATTCCGAAATGCGTTTTTGTTCCGAAAAGATTAGTTAAGTAGGGTTGTAAAACGAATTATTGAGCAGCATAATTCTACAGTAAATAAGTAACCTCAGGATGCCGGCTTCCGAACCAACTTCTTTCCGACTTCATGCAAAAGCTATGCACTGTAAAAGAAGACTGCTTATGTAGCATGCATTTTTCTCAGTGATTTTCGATGCCCAAAAAATTCAATTATATTTCATGGAAAACAGGCATAAAACTGTTCATTTTTTGTTAATTCAGTAGAAAATTCCGTCTTCTTCCAATTTTATACTCGAAGAAGGAGTATAACTTGGTTTTCAAAAACTTTTCCAATTCCCAAATAATTTTGAACCCCGACCTGCCGTCACACTTGCATTCAGGGTTTCGAAACTACAAGCCGTCTATTTTTCGCGTACGGAAAACCATATATTTCTCTACAGTATTAAGAGAAGACTATATGCGGTTCATAAAATTTGGCAATGGATTTGAGCAATACTATTAACTTTACAAGCCACATTGGTAAATTTATGGACATGGCGTTTTATGAACGGCCATTTCACGGTATTAATAAATCTCACAATAAGAAACTTCTTTAAAACCGACGTATACCCTTTCTTCGAGTATAAAGTTGGAAGAAGACGTCACTTTCTACTGAATAAGGAAAAGAATGAAACTGTTGATGCATGTTTTCCATGAAACATGATTGAATTTTTTAGGACATCGAAAATCAATGAGAAAAATGCAAGCTACATAAGCAGAGTGTAGTTTTTGCATGCAGCCGGAAAGAAGTTCGTTCGGAAGCCGGCATGCTGAGGTAACTTATTTACTATAGAAGTATGCTGCTCGATGATTAGTTTTACAACCCCAATTAAATAATCTTTCCGAAACGAAAACTTATTTCGCAATTTCGGTCGACATTTCATGAGTTAGCCCACCTATTGTACTCCTTTTCGACATCTTGCGGAAACTGAACTCGGTTAAAAAAATGACTGCTTAAGTGGTGCGCGTTTTTCACATTGAATCTTAATTGTCTTATAAACGCAAATATTTTTCATTGAAAACATGCACAAAATACGCTTTCCTTACTCGAATGGTTGAAAATCACGTTGTCATTACATTTTATACCCTAAGAAAGCTTATATTTCGGCTTTAAAAAAGTTTCTTATTATGAGGTTTTTAAGACCGTGCGACGTCTATACATACATCATCGCACATGTCCGTTTGCCAATGCTCCTCATGAGATGCAAAACATAGCCCGCGTCCATTGCAAAATTTTATGAACTCTATGTAGTATCCCCTTAAATTCTCAGAGGAATATATGATGTTCCTTAAGCGGAAGGCGTGCACCTTTTAGTCTGGGATCGCTAAGCGCTAATGAAACGGCTGATTAGGCTCGAAATTATTCGGGAAGTGGGAAACTTTTCAAAACCGAAATATAGGCTTTCGTCAGGTATAAACTGTGAAGACAATATGATTTTCTACCAAACGAGTAAAGGAAAGCGTATTTTGTGCATGTTTTTTGTGGAAAATATTTTAATTTAGAAGACCATCAAAACTCAATGTGAAAAACGCATGCCACTTATTTAGTCAATTTTCACCGAATGCGGTTTCTGCAAGAGGTCGAAAGGAAGTAAATTCAACAGCCAGTCTCCTGGCAAGTCCGAAATATTACAGGATTATGCAGCATGGTAGTCAATATTACAACCTCACCTAAGAAATCCTTCCTAGTCGGAAACGCATTTCAGAATTTCGGTCAACATTTAATGAGATCGATTACGCACTGTATGCTCCAAGACGAACCTCGTTCAGGCTCCGCGCTTACCGTGAGCAGAGGCTGACTTACCACATGCAACTTTCTGCGCCCTTCCGTTTTCGTCCCGCTTGTCTTTTAAAACCAACAAGCTTTCTTTCCTGGATGTCCTCATGACTAAACAGGAAGATGGTTCAATAAGGCGATCTGTTTTCCACAAAGATACATGGAAAGGCCAATACTTGCACTTCTTGAGCTTTGTGCCGATACAACGAAAGCGACATTTGGTTTATAATCTTTTCCAAAGAGCAAGAAACATTTGCTCCATCGAAACCCTGGATGATGAAATTACTTGCCTCAAAACAGCCCTGCTTAAACGGGGATATTCAACACGATTCATTGAAAAGTACAGCAACACTTTGCGGCCAAAATTGACGGAGCAATCTGTTCCGATAAAGCCCGTTATAGTATCCTTACCCTTCAAGGGCGACAACATCTCTAATACCATCAAGCGGCGATTGATATGCGCTATTGAAAAAACTTACAACTCAGCTGAACTCATCTTCTGCAGTCCTACCAAGGCTATCGAAGTTCCACGGGCGAAGGATGCCTTGCCATTGCACGCCAAGTCAAATTGTGTTTACGAATTTACATGCACTTGTGGATGCAAGTACATTGGGCGAACGCAAAGGCAAGTGGCAGCCAGAGCAGTTGAGCACCTGCCTAAATGGCTTCTAAAGCAAGAGAATAAGATTCCACGGTCTTCTACTACAAAGCATCCCCTTGATAGTGGCCATTCGGTTGACCCCAAAAAGTCTTTTCGAGTATTAGTTCGAGCACGAACTACTCGGTTATTGCGCTACCTGGAGGCAGCCTATATACGACGGGAGAAACCCGACCTATGTAAACAATTAGACCACATGGTCAACCTCAGCTTGCTCTGGTAGACCTAAGCCCTTTTGATTTTCGAAATCCCTCGGCATGTTTACTTCCCTATTTTCATTCCCCTGTTGCATTTTGCGGTTATCATTTTATTGATTAGTCTACGCGCAGTATACGTTGACCTTGCTGTTTTATATTGATTTTCTCTGTCGAACTTCAAACCTCTGTACCATTCTCACTTGTTATTTGTTTTATGCAACGACAGGCTGCAGTTGAGAAGCCGTCGCGAAATTTTCTGGTGCCATTAAATTCTGCTGTCCTTGTTTGCTTTAAATTCATTCCGGGGAAATATTGCTTCAAGTTTCAAACCAACTTATATCGATTTTTCAAGCGCGGACATGTTCGACTGTATCCACCTCCCATTTAATTGTACTGACCTGAGAAGAATTTATCGAAAGCAACGTATGCTCGTCAACTTGTCTTTTGAATACCCTTACGTTTTGCCTTGGAACTCGTGTTCAGGAGGACTCACAGATTGTCAAATGCAAACGAGAACTTTCTACTTGAAATGCGCTACTAACACTGTCAAATGAGATGGAAGTGACCGTTTCGTGGTATAGTAGCCAATATCAGCAAACCGTACTCCAACCTCAAAGGAGCGCACCCAACAGGACACTGGGACCATCATCATCACGGATATGGGCGCCGGCTACACCTTCGCCTTGAACGGTCGCTCCAGAGCAGAGCGACGGGACGCGGGCGTCTCACCTGCCATCCGGAATGACATTGTGGGATGACTCCCCTGTCTGCCGCAGGACATCAATGATCGCCTGATGAGCCCTCGCCTGTCTCTTCGAAAGGCAATTTCGCAACCATCGTCAGTGTCTATGCCCTCTCCCCCAATGACCAGCCCCGACGAGGCGAGGAACAAATTCTACGAGGACCTGCATTCCTCTTGATTGTGCCGACGGCGACCAAGCTGACTGTCCTTGGTGACTCCAACGCCCGCGTCAGCACAGACCATGCTGCCTGGAAAGGAGTGCTGGGTCCCCATGGTCTCCACGACTCCAATGACAACGGCCTGCTCACCCTACGAACCTGCACAGAACACCTGCCCATCCTGACCAACACCACTTACGCTTCCCGATGCTAGAGAAGGCCACCTGAATGCACCCTCGGTCGCGACACGAGCACCTGCTGGACTATGTCCTCGTCCGGAGGCAAGACCGGCGGGACGTGCTGGTGACAAAGGCAATTCCGGATGCCGACGGGTGGACCGACCATCTTCTCGTCATCTCTAACATGCGGATTCGCCTACAGCCTCGCAGGAGACCTCAAAGTAAGCTGAATATTGCTCCTTTGTTCTTGCCTACTCACCATCTCCATTTCAGCAATGAACTTGCTTAACGTCTAGACAACCTTCCAGCCGACGACGACGACGGGAACGCCTTCATGGAGGACCGAAGGTGTAAACTGTGGGACACAGTTCAGTCGACGGCCCTGGCCGTTCTCGGCCGCGCACGACGCCAACACCGGGACTCGTTCGATGACAACGACGCCGCCATCAGCAGCCTGCTCGCGGAGAAGAACCGCATGCACAAAGCCTACGTTGACTGCCCCACCGACGACAAAAAAGCAGCCTCCTACCGTAGTCGCCACCGTGTTCAGTGGCGGCTGTGCGAGATGCAGGACGCTTGGACGTCTCGCAAGGCCAAGGAGATCCAAAGGTACGCGGACCGCAACGAACAGAAGAACTTCTTCGCCGCGATCAAGGTTGTTTACGGTCCGCCAACCAAGGGTACTGTTCCTCTTTTCAGCGCCGATGGCAGCACCCTACTCACTGAGAAGACACAAATTTTATAGCGATGGGCCGAGCACTTCAGATGCGTATTCGAACGCCCCTCCACCATTTCCGGCGCAGCCACCGCCCGTCTGCCGTAAGTGGAGACCAACGTCGACCTAGATCTCCCGCCCTCTCTCCAGGAAACCATCAAGGCCGTGCAGCAGCTCTCCAGCGGGAAAGCGTCCGAATCGGACGCGACTCCTTCTGAGATCTACAAGCACGGTGGCCCCCAACCCATGAATCTTCTAGTGACGCTTTTCCAGGAGATGTGGCATCAAGGAGAAGTCCTGCAGGATTTCAAGGACGCCACAATTGTCCATCTTTACAAACGGGAAGGTAGTCGACAGCTCTGGGATAACCGTCGAGGCATCTCGTTGCTGAACATCGCCAGGAGGATCTTCGCTCGCATCCTCAACCGCCTGAGCAAACATCTGGAACAAGGTCTTCTGCCTGAAAGCCGATGCAGCTTCCGCCGTCATCGTTGGACCACCGAAATGATCTTCGTCGCCTGCCAACTTCAGGAGAAGTGTCCGGAGATGCGGACTCACCTATACTCTACCTTCGTGGATCTGACGAAAGTCTTCGACACAGTGAATCGCGAAGGGCTGTAGAAAATCATGCAGAAATTCGACTGTCCCGACGGACGCACTTCTAGTCTCGTGTATCCACAGCTGCCGTACACAAATTTCCGTTCGCCGATGACTGCGCTCTCAACATCACCTCCAAAGGGGACATGCAAAGAAGCAACGATCTGTTCGCCACCGCCTGCGACAACTGTGACCTAATCATCAACACGGAGAAGACGGTGGTCATGCATCAACTGTCACCCGACGCTACTTACGTGGCACCTTAAATCAGTGTGAACGGCGCAGAACTGCAAGTCGTGAACAACTTCACATATCTGGGCTCCATGCTTTCCCACAACACCAAAGTTGGCGATGAAATGGCTCGTCGCATTTCCAAAGTCAGCCAAGTCTTCGGCTGCCTGTAGAACACAGGCTGGAACCGTCGCGGTCTCCATCTCAACACCAAGCTGAAGATGTACAGGGCAGTCACCCTGCCGACACGTCCGTAAGGAGCGAAGACTTGGACGGTGTACCAGAAGCAGGCGCGGAGACTCAATCACTTCCACCTCCGCTGTCGTCGACAGATCCCCGATGTGGGTGTACGGGAAAAGGCGGGAATCTACAGGATCTAGATCATGCTGAGACAACTACAACTACACTGGAGCAGCCACCTACTGCGGATGGACGACGAGCGTCTACCACGGTGACTTTTCTATGGAGATGTCGACACGAGTCCACGCCGATAAGGACGCCAAGACCGTCGTTATAAGGGCGCTCTGAAGGCTTCCCTGAAGCGTCTGCAGATAAACCAGGCCAACTGAGAAGACCTCACTCAAGACCGACCGACCTGGAGGAGGACAATGAGGACAGGCGCAGCGATCTACGACGCCAACCGCATCACCGACGCTAAAGCCAAACAGGAGGCTCGAAAATCTCAACCGCGCCTATGCCGCAACGCCAACGCTCAACCGTCCCTGACCTGCCCACGCTGCCAGTGGACGTTCCGGGCACAAATCGGTCTCACCGGACACCTTACCAACTCCAACACCCGGAATACAGTTGCTGTCTCCTTGTCCAACTCTGCCTCGGCCTCCACGTCGACAATAAGCACTGACCGCGCTACCAAACACCCACTGCCCTCCTCCTCCTCCTCCTCCTCCTCCTCCTCCGCAGCCTCAAGACCTGCTGCGGCGGCTCCTGTACCCACCACCCCTGCACACAATCTAGACACACAAACAAACACCAAATGATTCGCCGTGAAAACTAACGATGTGGACTCAATTGATATCTGTCCTCATTGCGACCGCACATTCACCTCACACATCAGCCTCGTCGGTAACTTGCGAATCCATCTCACAGAGACCGGCGAACCAGTGCTTGCAGCATCAACCTACACCCGCTGCATCCGTCTCAACTGTCTACACTGACCCGCACATTCATTCGCCACATGGGTCTATTCGGTCACATGCGTATCCACGAGAGCGGAATCGACCATAATCTCGACACACCCAGCTCAAATTATACCCCGCCGCTCAGCACGCCCACCACCATCAGTCCCACCATACTCAGCGCATCTTGCACACCCACCATGCCTAGCTTAACCAACACTCCGCCGCCCAGCACGCCCAACACCAGCAGCAGCTCCAGCACTGCCAACATCTCCGAAACCGACAATGACACCGCCGACTTCTCCTGTGCGCACTGTCCATGTACATTCACCTCACACATCGGCCTGGCCGGTCACTTGCGAATCCATCGCACAGAGACTGGCCAACCAATGCTTGGAACATCAACATACATTGCGTGACCAATCTCATGAAAAGTTGGCTGAAATTATGAAAGGCGCGGATAGCATGTACCTTGTAGACTGGAATCGCTAAAGGCTCTTGCAACGGCTGCTCTAGCTCAAATAATTCGGGAATTGGGAAACTTTTCAAAACTTAAATAAACACTTTCTTCGGGCATAAAATGTAGAAATAATGTGGTTTTCTACCAAACGAGTGAAAGAAAGCCTATTTTTGTGCACGTTTACTATAAAATATATTTGAGTTTATAAGACCATCGAAAAGCATCATGAAAAATGCGTACTAATTACAGTAGACGTGCTAACTCATGAAATGTCAACCAAAATTTCGAAATGCTTTCTCGTCTCGAAAAGATAAATTAAGTAGCGTTGTAAACCTAATCAAGATGCAGCATAAGTCTATAATGATCCAGTTAACTCAGGGTGTCGGCTTTCAAAAGAACTTATTTTCGGCTGCATGCAAGATCCATGCGCTGCAAAAAATGACTACTTTAGTAGTATGCAATTTTCTCATTGCTTTTCGATGCCCTAGAAAATTCAATTATATTTCATGGAAAACATGCATAACAATATTCATTATTTTACTTATTCGGTAGAAAATCACGTCTTCTTCCAATTCCATACTCAAAAGAAGAGTATAATTCGGCTTTAAAAAGCATTTCTAATTCCCGAATAATTCTGAACCTGACCTGCTGTTACACTTGCATTCAGGGTTTCAAAACTACAAGCCGTATATTTTCCGCGTACGGAAAGCCATGCATTTCTCTGCGGTGTTAAGAGGAGACCATATGAGGTTCATAAAATTAAGCAGTGGATTTGAGCAATATTGTTAACTTTACAAACCACATTCGTAAATGCAGATACATGACGTTTCATGAACGGCCATTTAATGGTATTAAAAAATCTCACAATTAGAAACTTTTTAAAAACCGAATTATACTCTTCTTTTGAGTATGGAATTGGAAGAAGACGTGATTTTCCACCGAATAAGTAAAATAATGAATATTGTTATGCATGTTTTCCATGAAATATAATTGAATTTTCTTGGGCATCGAAAAGCAATGAGAAAATTGCATACTACTAAAGTAGTCATTTTTTGCAGCGCATGGATCTTGCATGCAGCCGAAAATAAGTTCTTTTGAAAGCCGACACCCTGAGTTAACTGGATCATTATAGATTTATGCTGCATCTTGATTAGTTTTAGAACACTACTTAATTTATCTTTTCGAAACCAGAACGCATTTCGAAATTTTGGTTGACATTTCATGAGTTAGCACATCTACGGTAAGTAGTTATTTTTGACGAAGTGTGGTTTCTTCAGGAGAAATCTTCTCGCTCGTTTAATGCTTGCTGGGACGATGACGTTAGTATCGAGCTCTCCGGCTCTGGCAGCTGCTGCGCCTAATCCCCCTATCAGACAACAGACCGGCTCAGGCAGTGGAGTGGTGCGTGGGAGAGGGAGGAGAGACGCATACTCTCAACGCATATTCGTTTCCATGCGACCCCTCTGATGCATGTGTGATCCGAGTCCGAGACTATCACGGTACGTCAAGCACCGTGGCTTGGAAGGCTGCTCACTGAACCCATAACTCAGTCCACGCAGTCCGTCCAGTTGTGTGTGTGTGTGCATGTGTGTTTGTGTGGAGTGGCGGACTGGTGGGCTGATATTCAGACTGAAGCGGCCCCTTCGTAATGTGACCTACGGCACTCTCACGCATGTGAGATTTACTCTGCTCAACCCCCGTTTTGTGAAATCATCGTGCTTGTGTTTGGGGGGGGGGCAGGTTGTGCATGTGGCCCGCGCAGACAAGGTCACTAGATGTGTCGGCCACCGTGCCCATTCCCTGCATCAATCATCTGACCGGCTCGGACAGTGGCTGGGGCCTGGGGATGGGAGGGACGAGTGAAGTCGACGACTCAGCGCATTTTCCTTACAATAAACAATCTGACGCGCTTGAAGCTATCACGGTGCGCCAAAAGCCGTGGCATGGAAGGTTGCCAACTTACGAGACAACTTGGATCTTGCAGTCGGCCCAGTGATATATGTCTGTGTGGAACGGCCGGCTGATGGTCTAAGAGTCAGGCTGCAATGTCTTCTTCTTAATGCGGTCTTTATAGCACTCCCACTCCGTGGGATCCGACCCGGGTGTGGCGGCATGCCTGGGTGCGGCTTCGGCCGAGCCGGCCTCTTTTCTTTTGTCGTTGTTGGTTAAAATCCTGGTCAAGTGTGTGTTGTGGGTTATGGGATGTGATGACACGCCTAGGTGTGGGTCCGGCCGCGCCACTCACATGCGTCCTCCCCCGCCTCCGGTCTCCTTATCTCTGTCTTCACACTGAGTTCAGGTGAAAGAGTAGAGAGTGCGGTAGACGTTCCACAAGTCTACATTCGCTATAAACTAAATCACGCGTAAGTCACCGTCCCTGTTCTCCCCTTGCTGTGGAACACTCGCGGACATTGTCGGTAACGACGGTCGAACTGTTATAGGGCTGGCTGATGAATGCCAAAAATGGGTGTTTTTAGAGATTGGAATGATCAAGCAGACTAACCGCTAGTGGAAATCCCCACGAGACTATAGGCAGAGACACACTTTTTTAAATCGAGGCTTTATGTCATGGACTCTTAACTCGGATAGTCAGGGCACCAGGTGCTCCAGTCTTACTGCCTTAGTCGCGAGTACAAACGCTGCTGAGCATGCTGAGTTTTGTTACAACTGTGTGTTCAGTTGAAGACAAATAAGTCAGAAATAATTATTTTCGTCTCCATCGTTCTTTACGCAGTTCTTGCCGATCAAAGACTGCTCATAACTATGTCGCCGCCCGGGAAGTCTCCTTAGTCGGATCTCCAAATGAAGTTAACGCACCTACTTCCATCCGGCAATGCGGTACCACTAATTGTAGCTCAGATATGACTTACTTTAAGACAGCCAGATAAAAACAATTCAACTATTTAGCAAAAAGACTGAATCTGAGGCAAAACGTACTATAATGTCGCAACCTAATTATAATCAATAATTTAGAATCGGTTTGAGCAGTCAGTTATAAGAAAAGGTATAATTGTAAAAATTACTAAAAGAAACCAGCTTAGGGCGAAAAAGTATTGAAAAGGATTCTTTCATAACCCGTGTGAGGAAACATGCCTGAAATCGACGCAGCAGACAGGGTTCGAGCCCAAAAAATCACGAAAGGAAGCACACGAGCAGAACAGGAACTTGTCATGGCTCGTTGAGATCAATCAGTTACCTTTGGGAGCTGAATGCGGAACCCAAAAGAACATTGTCGCTAACATCGCAGCAAAGGTCTACTGATTGAGGTTTGGTTCTGCAGCCCCACTTGATTGATATCATATGGTTGGCTTTCTAAAAAATTTGGTAAATGCGAATACGCCGATTTTACAAATATCACATACTTACATCTTCCTTATCATTTTACTCCAGAGCGTGGCTGTGCCACGGGGGAGGTGTGCTTATACGCCAGCCTCGATTACTTCAGTTACCAGTTCACACGCGCTTCCCTCCGAGTGGTTCGAGCCCTGCTTGCGCTCCCTTCATTATTCTTATCCAGCGAGTGGCCATGTAGACTTGCAAATGGAACTGTTCCGACGGTGTGGAACTCCGTCGGTTCCACTACAGTGGCCATGCACTGCGAATTACCACGCGGTACCCTCAGTGGCCTTCCAGTTGTGACTGCGTCCCCCATATTCTCTTAATCCAACGAGTGGCTGTGCCGGGGGAGGCGAGTGTGTACACGCCAACTTCACTCGCTTTCCTGTGCGTGCTTCGAGCTCCGCTTGCGCTCTCTTTCTCTTCCTAATCCAGTGAGGGGTTAAGTTAGGTGTGTTAACTACGATTGTTTTAGTAAGCCAACCATATGATATCAGTCAAGTGAGGCTGCAAAACCAAACCTCACTGTCTACCGTACTATCTGGCGTGCCAACGCACAGAAATGTCATGTTTTCTACATTTATTCTACTGGCTAAGCCCGCAGGTCCAAAAGACAGATAAATGCTCGACAAGATTTCGCCCATGGCTTACCTGATAGTTAGTAGAGAGGCGCTATTTATTTCCGATGTTTTCACAGATTTCTTTTATTTGCTGAGGATGGATCCAAGGAATGAATGCCAAAGCGAAGGAAAACAATACTGCAACTGTAAACTGTGCGTAAAGATACCCGTTCGACCTCATCTAGTCTGTCGTCTTCTCCACCGCGAACCAATATAGACACACATTAAGTATGACTTTGCTAATGCTCTTTAAGGTCAGGATTATGTTGTCGAGCAAAACTTTTAAGGAAATGTAAGGGTTATCCATCTTAGATCCTCTCCATCCTTAAAATCTCCATAAAAGGATTTTATGTGTTTGCTCTCATTCTAGCTGTGTGCGCGCCGCAACCAATAGCTGCTTCTGGCGGTGCGTAAGATGGTTTTTCAGCTGTTCTTTGGTGTAAAGCCAGTGTTCCCATAAACCGGGTCACGCGATAGGTGGGCTGGACCAAAACGTGGGCTACACCGGAGTCTGGCAGGCGTTATCGGGGATTCGCACCCATAACAAATGTGAACATTGGAGGTGTGACAGCATGCTCATTTGTGGACTCGCGTCTCGCTGATTAGGATCTGAATCGCCTCCCCACTTTTTCTTGTATAAAATCCTAGTCCCTAGTGTCCGTTGTGGACCAGGGAATGTGGTGGTATGCCCAGGTGCGGCGTTTTGCCGTGCCAGCTACCTGCGCCCTCTCCCGCTCCCGGTTTTCTTGACTCTGTCTCGGCACCTGATCCAGGTGGGGAAGGAGAGAGTGAGGTAAATGCAGCGCCCACTTCCCCGTCCCTGCCATCACCCTGCTGTGGGGCACGCAGTGGACACCGCCGATACCGACGGTCAAACGGTCTGTGGTCAAACGAGATAATTTACTTTGTCAAACTTTAAACAATACTACCGAAGATTGAGCAGTGACACTTCAACCAGCAGAATTACATAAATACACAGAAATTTTTTGAAACCGAGTACACAGGATCTCAAATAACAAATGGTCGAACAGTAGTTGGTGAGATGAAAGAGAATACCAAGAATGCCTCGAGTGATTCCTTTCAGCACAAAACTAAACTAAATTCAAATTTTACATGTCTGTTCACTCAAAGCTTCGAAAGTACATGGCCAGGGAAAATAATGTAAAAATGGGGTGATTTAGATATTCAACATTTCACTCATACTGTGTTTCCTTACAATTCAATCACGGCTTTATTCGGCACCTTTGCCCTTCCCCGTGCATAGAACGGAAGCAGATTTAATAAACCCGTTACGAAGAGCTTTATAGTAGTAGGTGGAAAATAGTCAGCCGCTGGGAAACAACCAAGGTGCGCAGTACTTTGGGTGAAGATTTGGAGCTTTTGCAGTATCGGTCGTCCAGCTGTCATCTGAAAATGAAAATTCCCCACAAACTCTGCGCTAACTTCGTTATGGGGTGTTGAAAGACGTTTGTTGCAGTTAGTCACGTCCGACTCAGCATGGTTGCGTCACCACCTGGTGTATTCGTAATTCTCCGCCCGCGTCCCTACGCCTACGCGCATTACCCAACCAGGCAACTATAAAAAGCGCTTCAGCCGCCCGGTGCGCGTGCACGCGTGTATGGCGTCGTGGGACCGCGAAAGATGCAAGCTGTGTGTACTTGCCAATCCTGTCTGCATAGATATCTACGGGAGTACAAGACGCTCGGCATTGGTCCACTGCTCGCAGGGACTAACTGTTTATCCTCTACAACTGCTCCAAGTGAAGACTGCAACCTTGGAGAGACGCTGAGCACGTATTTGCAGGAGAAGTGAGCGAGTTTTCAGTCACAGTCATTTAGCTTTAGTCACGGTGTGCCGGATTCTCTCTGTTCGTTGTCTCTATATTGTGGTTTCTTCTGCCACGAATTATTTACTCTGACACACAGAATCCTGATTAGAATGTCTGTGGAGAAGCTGGTGTAGGCAGTCACCCTCTGGAATCGCAATGGTCGTGGTCGAGCATAGTTATGGATAAGTTCTCTTGGAATTAAAATATTTTTAAAATTTACTACTTCAAGAGCAGTTGTAACCAAGGTCAATCTTTATATTTATTCATACAGGTGCTCGCTGGACTTCTATCTCGCATTTTCAATAACACATTCTGAGGAATACCTTTAAAGCCTTCTTTATTAATCCTGGTGTTCATGAATGTAGGGTTAACACGCGGCTTGTAAAAGCGGTTCACTTCATTTGCTCTATTCGTTTGTCCAGTTGTCTGCTATAATCCGTATGCACATTTACAAACCTTACGTTGGTTTGCTAAAAGCTTGCATTCAGAATGTACATATTGACGAGCGTGACTCTGCACTAGTTTTCCAGGAATGGAATAGAAGTGATTAAGTTGGCAGAATAAGGAAATATTTTTTTGCCGACTGTTTTGCTCAGCTGTTTAATTGCGAGCAGTGTACGCAACAGACAGCGCACGCTGAAGTCAGCATTACAGAGCTTGTCAACATTAATTATATAGAGACGACATGAAACTGATAATAGGCTGCAAAAACCCACATTATTCAGCGGACAAAATAAAATAAATACAAGTTCGTTTATGGAAACTTCTTCTGAAACTCGCGCTGGTTGCCAGTTGCTCGGATGACTTCAAAGCCATTTTATTGTCCAAAAGTGAAGCGATCAGCCACGTAACCTTTCTGAAACAGATCTATGTGATAACATGCCATTTTGGCAGTTTTATTTAGTAAGCCTGTCCCTGCCACACCCTCGAGTTTAGTTTGTTATCCATTTCAGCATTCATCTCGTTTGGCTTGGTTCCTTTCACGACATCTTTTTGAGCTCTGTTGATCGACAGTGGCAGTTAGTACCCTTCGACGCAACTTCTGAGTTTCCCGAGGATAAGTGCCTATGGCAGGGTATAGAATCAGCCAAGGTTCGGTTTACCTGTTCCGTAAGTCAACAGAAAATTCCCTCTTCCTCATTTTTCCCTTCATGTGCGTACAGCTATCGTGCAACGTAAAAAAAGAAGAGCCAAAAATACTCCAGCCAAACTCACTTTGGCCTTCTTTACTAGATGAAAGCAGTTCACCCTGGCGAAATTGCAATAAAAGCATTTTGCAGAGAACGCATTACTTTGATTAACCAGCAAATCTTTGGATTTTTGGTCACATTTGGTTATGCAGTCTTACCTGGTGGACACAATGCTGTTAGGGGTTAGGGTCAGGGTTAAGGGTAATGGTCAGGGGTTAGGGGTTAAGGCAACTATTTCTCATCCACTCAAATTACAACCGCGCTTTCCCAGTAGCTTTTCTTTGCATACGATTACTTGACCTCGTCGTCTGTGCTTTCCCCAACCCCACATGTAAAAACCCCTATTACCGCCTGTCCCGCATTACAGGCAGCTGGGGTTTGTTCACCTTATGTGCGGCTTCACAATCCCATCTGACCGAATTTTCATATGCTGATTTTCTCTAAAGACATGCACACAAGTGCTTTTTGTTAACGCTGGTTAAATGACAGCGAGTTAATTTGTCTCATCTCAAAGTGTGCCTTCTACATTTGACTTTATTAGGACTGTGGCAGGATTTGGACGTCTATATCGGCTCTTGCAACATTTGTACTCTGTGTTGACCCAATTCAATGGAGCCGCTTGACACTTTGGTTCAGTCTAGCGGGGCAAACCTGTTCCACATGCCTCCAAGAGACAGCAAACAGGTCATTTTCACCTGACAAGAGGGTAGTTCACTATGGTGCTTGGTATCCACGAGAAGTTGTACGAGTACGTTTTCAATATTTTTTTGAGAATTTCGTCAAGACTGTTCCGATCGCAGTTACGATAAGTACATGTTTGTGTTTAAGTAAACATTTGAATAGAGTCATAAGTGCAAAGCATTCTGTATTTCGTCCGCATCTAATAAAGTCAACTGAAAGTAGTTCGTTTCATTTGGAAAAATGTTTCCGCAATTATGACAGACCAGTCATGCTTCTATGCAAGAACCCATACAGAAGCGAAAATCCAGCGAAGAACTAGATCGATGGAAATACTGATTGCATGATTTGAGCCCATTGTTAATACAATAAGACAAAAACACTATTAAGTAGACGATCCACTAACCTAAAAATCAAATGTCCTACTGTCCGAACTGTTTTGAAGATAGGAAAAGTTTTAAGCACTCTGCATTACTGACATGCAAATTTCAAAACTACCTCATCTCTTAGGTATAAATTTCAACGGGAATTGTGTTTTTCTTTCAAAAAACCGCTGTTACATGTTGCCATCTTATTAATCAGCGTGCAAGACTTGACGTAAGTCTAGCATACTAAAGAACATAAAATAGCCATTGTTTTAATAGCTACTATTTATAAAAGTTGTAATTATGTCCGCAACTTTTGGAAGGAACTGTCTTTTCTTGTCATATGTCAGTAGGTGACGAATCACATTAAGCTACAGTCGAACGACGAGGGTGCACTTTCGATTAGAAAGGACCATTTGGGTGGGGCTAATGCACTTGTTTAAATTCTTTGGCGGCGGTGTTCAGCGTACGCTCCACCAGGACGGCGCAGCAACGGTGATCTGTGAATTAGTTTATAGTGAGGCAGATTTACGCAACATTTACAGCAATTGCTCTTTCCTCAAACACATTGCTTCGACGGAGAGACATGATAAAGTTGACCAGAGGCGAGTTCGGGCATAGTGGCTTACACGGTTTAACAGTCCATGCACGTCACCCGGCCCCCACTGTATATACCAGACTTTTACGAAAACGTTTCACATCTCACGCGTGCGAGAGTTCTATAAAGCCCTATTAAGTAGCAGCCACTATGGCCTGAAACTTAGTCCTCCGATCCCGCCAAAATGTTTCCATGAGGGCCGAGTTATCCTGTTATGCGGTGAATCCAGTTTTTATGAAAGCTCATACGGCCGAATAGACCCATGCGGTGTTTTAATGTCCTGGAGCATAGCAACCGGATGGAGAGTGCCTGACGGGTGTATGTCAGGTCTTTAGGTATTGGTTAGTCGGTCTCAGTGCGGTGAATTCGCAAGTGTTTTATTAGGCCTTGTGTGACAAGGAAGCGCGGTCGTAATGGGGGCAGGATGCGGTTAAACCAACTTTGCCCGTGGCAAATTCAATAGTGGTAATGTTTTGCAGGACGATAGGAACATCCTCGCTGGTGAGGCTAGTGGTGGCGGTAGTTGTGATGTTGAAAAAGTGGCAAGTCAATCGTAATGCTATTGCCTTGGGTTTTCTGGTATCTAATGAGGCTGGTCCACGTCCGAAACGTCTGTCGACAGTGTGGACACGATGGAGGAAGTTAGATGCCGGCGTCAATGGTCCATAGTCCTTGGATCTTGAGGGTCTCCCTATTTGCCTTGGCAGCGGCTATTTGGGTGGTTTCGAAGATGGCTGCGCTAGTATACGGCAGTGGGCTAGGGCTGTCGATCTTTGGGCAGGGTCCTCCCAGATTCCTGGGTTGAGCTGCAAGTGCTTGAGTGAGGTCTTCTAGGCGGCCCTGTAGAAACGTTTTCGTTCGCCTTGACCGCAACAACTTGTAGCTACGTCGTCGTAGAACAGTCGCATGGACACACACTCACCATCCAGCTTCGCGACCTGGCCGCGCCATCGCAGTCGTATCTTCCTCATTATGGGACGGGTATTAAGGGCGCCGTTTCTTTCAAGAATCTTAGTTTCTGGAATCTTTTCCTGGCATTTTTTCTTCAGTATTCTTTGGAGGCACCTAAGATAAAAATATCCGAATTCTCCTGCCCGGCTTTCAGAGGCAGTTCTCGTCCCAGCCCCGTAGAGCAGCGTAAACAGCGCAACGGTCTTGTACATCCTCAGTTCTGTGTTGAATAGGATATCGCGACGATCCCAGCTGATATGCTTTAGCCGGCTGAATGTCCGACTGGCTTTGCAGATTGGACTTGAAATTTCGCCACCGATCTTGATGTCTCCTGAAATTTCACCCCCAAACTTGCTAATTTGCCCACTGCAGTGGGGTGAGTTGCGCTGACATTGACACTGATCATTATACGACGTAAATTCGGGATACATCACTCACAGCGGGACGCCGGCTCTTTAATTCGTGACTATATGGTCATTCGCAAAATCATACTCGAACAAATGACGAATCAAATAATGTGACTTTGTTTTATTGGTTTATATTTCCCTTACAAACGAAAATTTATTTTATTGAAAAAACCCGAGGAGCCAGCCTTTCTTATATGCTATTTGTATTAATTGTGCCTTCATGTTTCAAACTCGAATAAAAAATATTTTTATACGCAAAAGGTTTTTCATCTTCTGAAGAACTGTGAATCTGATATTCGGTTGCATAACTTTTACGAATTCAAAAGTAAACTACAAGCTTTTCGTTAAAAGGAAATTGTACAGTTCTCTATGCTTTTGACAAGTTACTACATAATGCTCATGAAACGTTAATAAGAGAATAACATAGGAAACTTTAATAAACGGCAGATACGATGCTGATCGAGTAAACATTTCAGTGTCCGAAAAAATATAATAACAAACTCTTTTGAAATCTTCAGATATATTTTCTTGTTACCAAAAGCATAAGGGAGGGATGATTTGTTTCCAGACGCATGCAAAAAGGCTATTTTGTGCAAGGTGTGTTTTGGTTCGCCAGTGCACAGAAAATAATGAATCAGATTCACATCATCTAAGTAAACATTCTCAGGTGGGGTGCTTTTTGCAGATGGGCAAAAGACATTTAAAGTCTACATTTTAGTGTGACTGAAAAATCTTAAGATCATTCCAAATGACGCACGACATTAAAACCCCATTTGTCGGTGGGCTAACTCATGAAATGTCGACCGAAATTCCGAAATGCGCTTTCGTTTCCAAAAGATTAACTAAGTAGGGTTGTAAAATTAGTCAGCCTGCGACATAATTCTGTAATATTTCAGTTACTCCTAGATGCCGGCTTTTAAATGAACTTCCTTGGGGCTGCATGTCAAAACTCCACTTCGTAAAAAATGACTACCTAAGTAGTATGAATTTCTCTCATGGATTTTCGATGGCCCTCAAAGTCCAATTATATTTCACGGAAAAAATGCATAAAAATATTCATTCTTTTACTTATTCGGCAGAAAATTACGTTTTCTTCTAATTTAATGCTCGAAGAAGTGGTATAATTCGGTTTTCAAAAACTTTTCCAAGTTCCGAATACTTGTGAACCTGCTCTACAATTACACTTGGATTCATGGTTTAAAACTACAAGCCGTGTACTTTCCGCGTACGGAAAACCACACATTACTCTACTGCAATAAAAGGGACTCTATAGGGTTCATAAAATGTAGCGCTGTATTTGATCCATATTGTAAACTTTACGAGCCACATTGTTAAATGCAGATACATGACGTTTTATGAACGGTCATTCACGGTATTTAAAATTCTCACAATGAGAACCTTTTTTAAAACCGAATTATGTCCTTACATTGAGTATAAAATTAGAAGAGGTAATTATCTACTGAATGAGCAAAAGGATGAATATTTTTATGAATTTTTTCCGTGAAATATAATTGGACTTTGAGGGCCATCGAAAATCCATGAGAGAAATTCATACTACTTAGGTAGTCATTTTTTACGAAGTGGAGTTTTGACATGCAGCCGGAAGGAAGTTCATTTAAAAGCCGGCATCTAGAAGTAACTGAAATATTATAGAATTATGTCGCAGGCTGACTAATTTTACAACCCTACTTAGTTAATCTTTTGGAAACGAAAGCGCATTTCGGAATTTCGGTCGACATTTCATGACTTAGCATAACTACTGTACGTTATTCTTTCTAAAAAAAGTCCAAGTTTGGATTTTCAGCCAATTTTCCAGGATTTATAAAACCCCTTCACTAAAAAACCAGAAACATTGAATTTTTTTACTAAACAGTTTTTTCACAAATGCTTCTACATTTTATAATGTAGAATTTCAAATATTAATATGTATTATTTTTACAATAATAGGGGACTTGATCAAACTCGTCTTCGGTCGTTGTTTTTTAATCGTTGACAAAAATCGTTTTAAGTGCCGCAAAAGTAGTTGGTGTTTGGGGCGGTTGCGTGTGAAAACTTCGCCTACCGAATTTTTGATCCCGGCGTGTTCCCAAAAGCTTTTCTAAAATATTTATAAGGGTATGTGCTCCGAAATTGTCACTGTTCGTTTTCAGAAACTTGAAACACTGTTTTCCCGGAATAAATTTGAACAAGGCCAGGGCGATGTGACTTGCGGAGTTCAGTGCCGTCACCAAGTGTCGTGACGTCATTTAACTGCATACGGTCATTGCGTACTAACAAGATAAAATGCTCATTTAGAGAGCGACCGAGAGGGATGAAACATGATTGGTAAATGAAACCCGGACTCTTGGTCTGATGTGCAGTTGGGCATGGCGATGGGGAAGGGGGAGGCAAGTTACTAAAGCAAGCGCGTGTAGGTTACAGTGAAAACCCTCTGAGCGTGATTAAATTTGCAACCCGTGGGAGAGCAGTCAGTCATGAGGGGCAAGTGAAAGGACGGTAGAGGGAATGGGGCTTCGTCCATTATCGATCCAGACCATGTCAGGGCGAGGTTAATCACGTGATCCAGCCCAGAGAAGTGTTTTATTCACACGTACTTTTTGACACCTAACTAAATCGCATGCTCAAACGACTAACTTGCCGATGTACTCTTGCTATTGCTGTCTTTGATAGCAATAAGCACGCGTTTTGGAGTTTTTATGCTGAAGGAATATATTCAAGTTGCATCACTTTCCTTTCACGTCTTTGGTTATTTCAGGTTCTTCTTCGCGTACATCGACGGATAATGGAAGACGTCTTTGCAGTTCGACAAAATTAATAAAGTGGAATAAATGCGGATTTCATTTCATCGCTCTTTTGTAACATTTTGCATTTTATATAATTAAAATCAGTTTACTAGACCTTTACTCTTCCGCCTAAATAAGAAGCATCGTCTGAGATTTGATTCAAAAATGAAAATGTTTATCCTCGCCAGGTTTCTGCTTCATGTACTTTGTACACCGCTGTTACAAAAGTTTCACTGCGCAAACAGTAGACATTAATAGGCATTCGGAATTTGTGGAAACGATTAGGCCTCGTTCCCCCTGAGTGCATTGTTCTTATGACTCGGGGAGGTCAAAGATTTCAGACACCATAATTATACGAACTTTTGGGAAACAGATATTTGAACGGAGGCTTCTATTGATGGCCGAAGGTCCAATACTGCGGTCCATGCTATCAGCATCACTACTTTCCTGCGCGGTCGCCGTAAAATTTGAGACCATATCAAGGACACTGTAATGGTCTTTAATAGCAGGTAGCTATTGCCAAATTTATATAAAGTTGAACATCTGATATCTTGAACATGCCAAACGCATAAGCAATTAAGAGAAAACACATTGTAGTAAAGATGAGTTTCGATAAGCTTGATCGAAGAATATCGATGCCGATTACCAGAGCATTATTATAACTTTTAAATAGCTTTTTGCCCTTCCCGATGCCTATTAATCTGAGAATGATGCCATACGTATGCGAAAGTACAAATGTGGTCGCATGATTTATAGCGAAATTTTCTCACTGATGAGACAATTTAAGATAAATGTCTGAATGAGCTTCTCTGGATATACTTTTATTTGCCATTTTCTATTCCGAGCTAGGCTAATTAGTGCGAAGCAGGCGTGTTAATCACTGCGCAAATTTACTAACCAGTTCTGCTTCGCCAAAATTGGTTTAGGTGGTAATGGATACGCGAGCAACTTTATGGAAATTATGTTCTATGAAAACACGGGCCTCAAACAGGTGTTTTTTAAGCACATGTACTTTTGACACCTAACTACGCCGCATGCACGAACGACTAGACTGCTATTACTCTTGCTAATGCCGCCTCCTGCTGCAATTTTGAGGAGTTTGAAGGTATCTGTCTGTTAGACAGACCTGTATATCCACGTGTGGGTATCATCCATACTCACAGTCTGATAGGCCTTTATTACCTCTCCTAACAGCCTGGCCACGTGTTCGCACAAAAATCTTCTAAGGATATATCGTGTACCCTTGCTTATAAAATTAACAACACAGAAACAGGTAAAGATACTTGTGGAGCCATAAGCCATTTGAAGCAACAGTCTGCTGGTCTACGGAAGGAGGAAACTTATGGTGTTGAATATTGAATTATTGTTTGGCGTTTATGTCTATGTCAAACCTGACGAGGTAGGTGAAACTGAAACCAACTAAAAACAGCAAATACAAAAAGACTCCACTTAAAATACTCCAAATTGCCCCAGTTACTATAAATGGTGAACAGGTAACTATGTAACCAATTTTCGCACAGAACTGTAAACAAGTACGTGTTCCATACACAGGAACTTACAAGTAACTGGAAGTGCGTGAAAGGGTAGGAATAGTACACTTACGAACATTTAGTTCATAAAATAACAAGGTATCAGGCGCATCATGGGAGTGCCGGTTGCCTCCTCGTCCAAATCACCAAGCCAAAAAATTATCAAATGGTTGCTGCTGAATTTGGTCAAAATCATGTCTATTAAGACAGACGAGGTTTACGGCAATGAAATCGAACGAAAAAGTACAGACATCTAAACGGTTTATGACATTATTTTCCTCCGTGGCATGCGTTTTCGTTGGCTGGGCCCATCAAAATGGGACAGGAGACAGGACAACGAGCCCGTGGCTTAGTGATTAGAGGCGTTGGATTTCTGACTAACAGGTCGCGGAATCGAGCCCCAGGTGTTCCACGATTCGTGGTTGGGTATGACTGGCTGACACCGGCTAATAAGTCAGAAATGGCCTTTCCAGTTTTCCTTGTCTTTGTCGCTAATAACATTCTGACAAATATTTTATTGGATCCGATAAGGAAAACAAGGGTAATCAGAGGAGTTTTAAAGATAAGGAGAAATTTGCCCGAAACGGACGTATGACCGTAGACCATAACAGTCAGAAAATGCTTATCAAGCACTAAGAGTAAGTTGTCAGCGGAAAAAACTTTCCTGCAGCTCCGGTAAATCTCGTTTAAGCCAATCATTTAGTTTAGCCTGCCCCGGGGCAGCATGGATGAAAATCGAGGTTTTCATCAATATTGGTCCTTGTGCACTCGGAAGCGCTGCACTAGACAAGGAATTTGGTGGGATGATATGGGGGTATTAAGAGGGTAGCTGATGTAGAACACTGAAGGCAGCGGATAGTTTAAAGATAAAATTAAGAAATGGAGCATGTACCTAAAAACGTATTTTGGAGCCCTATTTAATGACCTTTCCTACATTGCGACATACAAACGCTAACTATGGAAATGCTGGCGAGCGAATAGTCGCTCCTCAAAAACTGATTTGTAGCAGGATAGCATTACCGAGGAGGATAAATAAGACCGGAATTGTCATTTCTGGCCTATTAGCCGTAATCAGACAACCATACCCAGCTCCCGGCCTTGCAACCCCTGAGACTCAATCCCGCGACCTGTTAGTTAGAATTCTAACAACCTAAGCAATGAGCCATATGTCTGTTGTCTTGTTTGTTGCGATGTTTATGACGCTTGACTTCTAACGAACAGGTCGCGGGGTCGAGTCTCAGGGGTTGCAAGATCCATGGCTGGGTATGGCTGGCTGACGACGGCTATTAAAGCCAGAAATGACCATTCCAGTCTCCCTTGTCTTTGTCGGTAATGCTATTCTGCCTATATTAGACGCCGCTGTGCGGCTGCTTGTTGAGCTCGAGAGAAAGCCCTAAGGCAAAACAGGACGAGTGAATTTCGCAACGCGATCGGTGAGCGACCCTATACTACGGCAATTTTTAACAACCATAACAGGGACATAAAATAGACTCTGTTTTGGTAAAAAATCTACATCGTGGAAAAAAATATAGATGAGTAATAATAAGTCATATATGAACTGAAAACGTGTGAGTGCTTGCTCTACTATAAGAAGCTCAAATGCAACAATGCCAAGATAAGGATAAAACGAAATGGTTCCAGCACAAGTAGAACTTTGTACGGGTAATTGTCGGAAACTGGTAATCTTGGTTTGACAGGGGAGTAGGCATACAAAATAACCAGAAAGGAATTTATATAGCATTCTGAGACTACTAAGCATATTCGAGCAAATGTATGCAATTTGCCGTACCGTAGTCTTCAAAATTTATCTATCTATTTGTTCTTAAGCGTATAAAATTTTATTTATCTGACGTAGCTGCCAACATGTCTGATGCTGTATTTTACATTCCAGGGGTTAGAGATTCAAAGAATAAAGATTCAATTTTTCATTCACCCGATTAGCAGTTTCCAAATAACTAAAGAAATTTCCCACTGAGCAGAAAATGTGAGAAAATGAAGGAGGCTAAAACGAAACAAGTGTGTTTTGTAATCATTAATCATAGTCATTTATATCCTCCAGCTCTCAACCGACAGGACAATCGGCCTAGGGTTCAACTGTGCCGAGGTCAGGGGGTTAGAATCCCAAGTTCTGCAAACCAGGGCTGGCTGTTGACGGCCGATAAACCAGAAATGGCCACTTGGGTCTCTCTTGTCTTTGTCAGTATTCCTCACGCTGCATAATTACTTGCCTCTATGTAACTGCCTGCGAAAGCGCTGAGCAGAGTCCGAAGGTGCAACAGAACACTTACAGTGCGTGACCTATCTCATGAAATGTTGGCTGAAATTCTGAAATGCGTTTTCGATTAGGAAGAATTACTTGGTCGCGGTTGTGATACTGATTATCTTTAGGCATACTCTTATAACATTTTGGACTCGAAAGGATGTCATCTTTGAAATGCACTTCTTTTCAATCTCCTGTACAAAGCGTGCTCGGTAAAAAATGACTACTTAAGTAGCATGCATTTTCCCATTGATTTTTGATGGTCTTGGTAATTCAAATATATTTTATAGAAACCACAAACAAAAATATGCTTTCTTTTAGTCAATCAATAGAAAATCATGTCTTCTTTATATTTTATACTTAAGGAAGGAGTATAATTAGGTTTTAAAAAAGTTTTCTAATTGCCGAATAATTTTGAGCGTAATCATTCGTTGCATTAGCGCTTAGTGATTACACTCTAGAAGGTGCATGTGTTCCGCGTAAAGAGAATCCCATATTTTTCTATGTCATTAAAGAAATATCATACAGGGTCCATAAAATTTTGCAATGGATGCGGACCATGTTGTACATTTCATGAGGAGCAGTGGTAAACGGCCAGGTACGATGCTATGTTAATGGACATATCGCGGTCTTAACAAGTCTCATAATTAGAAACTTTTTTAAAACCTAATTATTCTACTTCCTTAAGTATAAAACATTAAGAAGACGTGGTTCTCTAGTGATTGACTAGAAGAAAGCACATTTTTGTTTGTGGTTTCTATAAAATATATTTGAATTTCCAAGACCATCGAAAATCAATGGGAAAAGTGCATGCTACTTAAGTAGTCATTTTTTACCGAGCACGCATTGTACATGAGATTGAAAAGAAGTGCATTTTAAAGACGACATCATTCCGAGTCCAAAATGTTATAAGAGTATGCCTAAAGGTAATCAGTATCACAACCGCGACCAAGTAATCCTTCCTAATCGAAAACGCATTTCAGAATTTCAGCCAACATTTCATGAGATAGGTCACGCACTGTATGTCTCGTAACCTAATTATTGGACGCACTCTCATCGCCGATAAAAATATATAATCGACTGCACGTCTGAAACGGACAATCAAAACCGACTCTTAAGTTAGATAAAATTGTTAACTCCACAAAACCGAGCTTGCTTCGATCTGAGCAGATTCCTTATTTGGTTCTAGTAAGGGGATATTTTTGGAACAAAAAACGACTTGGCAAGTCCACATTCTTCGACC